TATTTATTTTTTTATATTCCTCCCTCGACATGATTTTCATAATTAGCTATAATCAGTTTGGTTCTAAGTGCCGTTTCACTTCAGGAAAAAAGTAAATATGTGTGAAGTATGTTTAAAATCTATATAAACTTAAATATAAATATATAACTAGTGTGCATTTCAGTTTCTTCTTGCTACACAGTAAAGATTTAATGAAGTTTCTAGGGTTTTCCCAATTTTATTGCTTATCGCTAGTGATCATACAGCCATCGCCATAAAACGTACGCTTGTGTAATTCAACACTGGCTTGATGATTATTTAAGACACATTTTCTGGAAGCAGCAAGAGATGTTCCAGTTTCCCTGGCAACATGAAATAGATGTGGTAGTTATGTAAGAGGAAGTTTTTTTTTTCAAACTGGGTATTACTTAATGCTCTCTCTCTCTCTCTCTCTCTCTCTCTCTCTCTCTCTCTCTCTCTCTCTCTCTCTCTCTCTCTCTCTCTCTCTCTCTCTCTCTCTCTCTCTCTCTCTCTTGCAAAACAATTCTGCGGTCAACCATGCACTTTTTTTCAGGTCAAACTTAATTAGTTTCTGATCAAATTTGACCACAGAGTGGAGACAGTTGTAGCCAATCAGATACCATATTACCTTGCTAGTATGTGTATTATTTTTTTTCTCTCGCTCGCGCGCACTCATGACCATGGTTCTCGTAGCTTTTGTTTATTAGTAAGCCTATTCTATCCAATTGGAATAGTTTCTTCTTTTCTAGCAAGTAAATGAAGAAACATTGAATGTAGCCATTGAGACCTACACCACAGGGCTCGATCACAACTATTGTTCCTATATAGTCCCTACATTTGATTGTCAGTAACGATCTTTTCATTTGTCCAAATCCTAATAAATCGTCTGTTAATCAAAAGTATCTTCTTAACTGAATTTACAAAAACGTTATTTTCATAGGTTAAGTGGCAGTTTTAGTTGCTTGACCGTAAACAAAACAACGTGCAGTGAATCACAGAATTCCATTTCGGACCAGCGACATTGTCTAATTACTGTGCATAAAAATAAGCACAGACAAGCACACCCTAATGTTCATATTCTAAAGAATTCATATAAAAAAATAAATCAGTACCAAAAATACATAAAATCTAAGTCATGTATTACCAATAAAATGAGAGAGGAAAAATATCCTCTAAGATAGACCGGGTTTTCATTCGTGGGTACTGACCCGGAAGTAATAACTGAGACCAGAGTCCTCTCAGGCCAAGTTCTATATGGTCAATTTTAGCCACACTCTTACATTTCCATGTTACACCTATTGCAAATTGCAACGTTACTCAAGAAATCTTTTTTTTATTTTCATTGCAAACAAACCGTGTGACAACTGTCAGTAAGTGTGTCGTAATGGTGCACCTTAGGGTGACTATTTGGGACCATGTGCTTTTGAAATGCCAAAGAAAATTTGCTATATTTTCCTTACTTATAGAAATGCGTTAATATCTTAATTGGAATACAAGATCGTGTCTATTTGGAACTATGAACCATAAATATATGGACAAAGTATAAGGGAATTTAAAATTAAAATTTAGAGAACTAAATTCTAATGTAAAATTAAAGTTTTACACAAATTTTAAAAAAGAAAATGACAAATTTTGGACTAAAGCAGAGTTGACCAACGAATGATATATGAAATAAGTGATAGCTTGTGTCTGTACAATTTGTAGTATTTTATGTAGAATTAGTGAAGCACGTTGATTTCTGCAGTAAATAGCAAGATGCGTGTAAAATGTATATAGGTGTACGCATTAAAGAAATAACGACAAGTCAGTGTTATGTTCCATGTTCATTGTGTCGGATACTCAGCCGATTGTTAGAATAAATAATAGTGCACTCAAATTTCCTCTTTTAATGGGAGCAGTAGGACTATCATGTTTTATAGCAAAACAAGCACGGCGTTTCAATGTCACCTCAAAATACAACCATGTATTAGGAAAATACAACTTCAAGGAGCCTCTGTCTTATTGAACAGTGCAGCTGTTCTCTTTCATTAGAGACCTAAGAAACATCTTTGATATGCCTTATATTAGTGTAATAGTATGAACCAATCATGGTAACTTATGGCGCGTACATTGGACATGTCTTAATGAGACCTTTGTGTCAACACTTGATTGATGGAGAGCTTGTGAGGATATCGCGATTGGATCATTGATGCAATATTTAGCACATCCCAATGTATTGGGACGTTAAGTGGTACTGTACTAATTTAAAACATTACCATAAATATGTTGGGTCATGACGGAAGTAATAATTTTGTTTATTAAAAGTGCATACGGCCAATTATGTGCATAACATATAAACTACGTCACAAACTTTAATTAAATGATCTGTTTGAACCTGGTGTAATTTTAAGAGTGTCAGACAACAATCATTAAGTCAAACGGTTTATTAGAATGTGGTACCAGCTGTTGCTACAATGCCACACTATATCCAAGTATCAGAAATAAATCATATGTTGATCTATAGTATGTTCAAAGATGATGTTATGTCAAAGGATGTCAAACATTTTTTGAGAGGCTTTACTGTGAGCAAAACAACGTACGATAGGTAAAGGATTTCAACTCTGGGCTATCAACAATGTTTTAATACTCACAGTGCACTGTTGCTAAAATATTCAGTCAACCACACCTTGATGTATACTATTATATATATATATATATATATATATATATATATATATATATATATATATATATATATATATATATATATTAGTACAGACTTAGCAGAACCTAATATCGACGATCTGTGTATTTAATTTGAAACGGAGAATAATCAATGGCAATGATTGGAGTATATTACAAAAAGCGAGCATTCTGAGCTCCACATCCCGGTCTAAAAAATAGTGAGCAGTACCTTTTGACACCTTTTCCGTCAGATAGTAAGACGTACCTTTCGACACCTTTTTCGTCAGATAGTGAGACGTACCTTTTGACACCTTTTTTGTCAGATAAGAGACGTACCTTTTAACACCTTTTTCGTCAGATAATGAGACGTACATTTTGACACCTTTTATGTAACATTGTCACTCTCAAAGAATTAGAAAAATGGCTTTACATGTTGAGAAGTACGAGTGTCTATAATAGAAAAGAAAACGAAACGCGCGGCAATACAGTTACGACAAACTGCCTCATTCTTTCTTAGATTCATTTAAAAAGACCCAGAAGTCCGGTTCTTCGTGTGATGTTTTTTTTTAAATCAACCCGAGAGCCCGAAAACAAGTCCATTCTCATCACCAAAATGGACACGGCTAAGAGATTGCTAATGCAACACTTTGCATCAGAAGTTATGTAGCAAAATCCTTACTTTACAAGTCCAGACAGTGTGAGTTTACGTGATCTGACCCAGAGCTCAAAGTTTCTCTACCTTTATATAAAAATGACGTCAACAGTTGGAGAATAAACTCAAATGACAGTAAGATGATGTCATAGTATTCAGTCAATGCATGCTCTCCTTTATTAAACAATTGTAGCAAGTTCATCTGTAACATGCACTAGATTGATTTAATCTTACGCAAGTATATCCATTACAAGTCATGATGATTTCATTGATATTACGGCATGGACAACGTTATGTTGACAACGTCACTTTTAAGTTACTTTCAGTGTAATCTTTAATTGTCGAGTTTGTTGTTGTTGTTAAAGGGTTTAACGCCATTTTTCAGCACAACATAGGCTATGCATGGCGGCTAGTATAAATGGTGGAGGAAGAACCCGGGAAAACCAAGGAAAGAACCACCGATCCACGAGAAGCTACTGGCAAGCTTTCTCACATGCCCACATTTGCCTAGTCCAAGACTCGAACTCACACAGACAGTGGTGAGATGGCAGTGATCCGTAACGGACAGCGCTTTAGACCACTCGGCTTTTCGGGGTCCCTCGTCGGGTTTGTTTTATCGGATCATCTTGGTTGGATACAAAGCTTCCGCCAGAAATGAAAGTTTATGTATTCAGCCTTATACCAGTCACATGTTGTTACGATATATTTTCATTATTTCATTGCGTAAAAATTTCTTGAGATTACAGGTATGATCAATCAGTAACATTCTCCAGGTGACCTCAAAATATTGATGTTAACACTCCAGCCGACATCTGCCAATCGCAACGCCAACTGACGCTAGTACAGCATCACCGTGAAGCGACTTTCTGAAAATGACCAGAAAGTTTATTGCAGCTTGCACAAATCTATAAGCAGAAAAGAGCAACATTATAGTATAGATAGTACTCTTTCTTGTTAATAATTCATGTCACTCAGCGCTTAGAATAACGGCATGTTGAGTATTATCTGTAAGTAAAACTTCTCGCATCGTTTGCTTTATTTTAATTATCAATTTTAAACATCTAATCTAAATACAGTAGCCAGTAAATGTATTTAGCATACTTGAAACATACTGTATACATTCCGAAAAGGAGCGGAAACGAAAATATCATTGCAGCGACTTTGGTTTTTAATTGCAATTTGATATAAAAAGAAGTTGCAGACAATGTTAGCTACGGACAACTATCGTCACAAACCGGTGACAATTACATCAGGAAAACTACCGTCACGTGCAAGTCACAAAGTTAGCTAAGACAACTACCGGCACGTTCCAGTGACAAAGTTACCTCAGGACAGCTACCGTCACATGCTAGTGAAAATTACCGTAGGGAAACTACAGGCACGTGCTAGTAACAAAGTGAGTTCAAGACAACTACCGTCACGTGCCAATGACAAAGCTGTGTGTGCATGATTCGGATTTTTAACGTAGCTTTAACGTTAAATTTTTTCAGTCATCGCTACGATATCTGCAGTGTGGCAGTGTATAGTGATGTCTAGCACCGGGGCATTATGCCGCAGACATGTAGCATGATGTCCCACATAGTCGCTTTGTCCTGACACCAGGCCGACCAGTCCAAACACTAACCTCTAAATGCTGAGCGCCAAGCTAAGCAGCTAATTGTACCATTTTTATAAGTCTTTGGTATGACTCAGCTGGGGATCGAACTCATGACCTCCCCCATCCGAGGCGGACGCTCTAACCACTAGGCCACTGGAGCGGTCTGACAAAGTTAGATCAGGACAACTACCGTCACGTGCTAGCGGAAACATTATGGTAATTACCATCAAGTTCTTAAAGGGCCTCGTGTCGGTGAAATTTAAATTTACGTCACTGTTCAGAAAAAATTGCTGCCATTTTGACATTTTCTCAAAACTATTTTTCCACGCCCAATACCTAAGTAGTTTTGTAACAATTCAAATGTTCCAAAATTATCTTTCAAACCCGTCTGCATTTCTATATTGTTAGAGTCATTATTCATCAATTAGAGCTGTATAGCAACTAGTTAATTTAGAACTATATTTAGATTAACAACTAGCTAGCGTATGCAACATACAACTGTATTATGTATGCATGCATATATCTATTTAGGCGCAGAAGTTTGCTGATGGAATAATCAAACTTAATTGAAATAGTTTTTCAAAACAAATCAGAATAAAATAAAATATATGCGTTTTCGCCATTCTACATTTAATAAAATCGATATCTTTGAACCATACTAATTGTATCTGACATGCACCGATAACAGTTCAGGTTCTAATGATATTGGACTTCCCAGTCCACTTAGTTTTGCTAACCCATCAGATAAACATTTCACGTTCAAATCTGTGAAAGCTATAATTGATTCGTGAATTGTGAAGCAACATAGCTCGGTATAGGTGTATGCAAAATCGCCTTTAATTTAACCATGCTGTATAAAGTTTTTCTTTACTTTTTCTAAACAGCTATAGGCCTGTTACGATAATCAAGGCACATTCTTATTTTCTCAGACGTTAATATGACTTACGCAATTTGACTCTCCTTACAAAACTTTATTTTGATAAAATAAACCAAAACAATACTAAAATTAATACTTTATAAGATGAGAAATAAAGTGAAATATTGCACACAAAAAAAAAACGTACAATCAAAATGAAAGATTATTCTCACTTTTCCCGTTTGGAATTCGATTAAAATTTGAAGGTCTGTGCTAAAAAAGAACCAAGAGGAAATTTTGTTGAATGATGTCTATCCTGTTTTACATGTCTTCGGGAGACAATGGTGTAGCTTCCGGTGAGGTGTCCTATCTGCACCTTTGAGAGTGGCTGAAGAATCCGACCCTAAAGTGATAGTCACTGTTGCACTTTCAGCAGGTGAATGTTGATGCTTGTTGAGGCTGTTGTTGTTTCGCCTTCTTCCTGACTCTGTAGCGAGGTTTGTATTTCTCGCTTTCTCAACTTTCTGAACGCCCTGTCTGTCAGCAAGGCAACAGGCGGAGCGGTCATCAGCACAGCTCTCCCAGTTGTTGACTTTAGATATTGACCATCTTTGTGTACTTCTTGCAGGCATCTTTGTAACGCAGACATGGCCGTCCAACCAGTCGTGTGCCTTCTGCTAGCTCGCATAAAACAGGTCCTTGGGAATAAGGCCTAGATCCATTCTCTTGACAAGGCTGAGCCAGCGAATGCAACTCTCGCTGTAAATGGAAAACATGCTGTTCATGCTGGCGCGTTCCGGAACCCCTGTTTTGGGTACTTTTTTTTACTGCCACATGATGCGTAGAATGCGCCACAGGCATCTCAGGTGGAAACTGTTGAGTTTCCTTTCGTGGCTCGTGTAGGTGGTCCCTGTCTCGCTGTTGAAAAAGCGTGTGCTGAGCACGCAGGACTGGTAGAGACGTAATTTGGACTTCTCAGTGAGGTTGGGATGTTCCACACCCTCTAATTAAATCTGGTCATAACTGTTCATGCCTTGGTTATCTTGTAGTTCTCCTCAGCATCAATGGAGAGCGAGCTGGAGATGGTGGACCCAAGGTATGAGTAGTTCTGAACATCGATGGCGATGGTGGGAGAGGAGTCTACATCCTAAGATAAGATGTTCGCCTTCTTCAGACTGATGGTCAGTCCAAACTTCTTGCAGGCATAGGAGAGGCGACATGTCAGCTGCTGAAGTCCATCTTCCATATGTGATGTCAAGGCTGCATGGTCGGAGAAGAGTAATTCACGGATGAGAACCTCTATGACTAGATTTTGCACGGAGACGAGCGATATTCAACAACTTGCCGTTAGTCCTGGTGTGGATGTACACTCCCTAGCTGCAGTCTTTGAAGGCGTACTGGAGGAAAATGGAGAAGATGGAAAAGAGCGTCGGTGCAAGGATGCAACCCTGCATCACTCGATTGCTGAATGAGAAGGCCTTTGATGTTGCGCCGTTGAAGCCGCTGTGCACTTTCTCGTGGAACGATGTGACAACAGCTAGCACTCGTGGGGACAGCCATTCTTCTCCAGGAGCCGAAAGAGTCCACTCTGGCATACCAGGTCCAACGCCTTCGTCATGTCTATGAAGGAAGACGATATAGAGGGGCCTCTGATGATCATGGCACTTCTTCTGCAGCTGGTATAGTGAGAAGATTATGTCTACAGTTGACCGTCTGGCTTGGAACCCACACTGGGACTCTGAGAAGACGCGGAAGGCTAGGGTCTGCAAGCTCACCAGGGCGACACGTTGGAAAGCCTTTCCGACGATACTGAAGATGCACTGTAGTTGCTAAAGTCGCTACGGTCTCCTTTGTTCTTGTACAAAGTAACGACGTTGGTGTCTCGCATATTCTGGGGGATGTGTCCCTGTTCCCAGCAGAGACTGAGAAGTTTGTGCAAGGGTTGGAGTAGTGCTGATTTTCCGCTCTTGAGGACTTTAGCTGGGATGCCTCGAGGCAGTCGATGACTTTCTGAACTCTTCCAGAATAGTCGGTGTGTCTAGTTCCTCCATAACTGGCAGGTCTGGGATGTCGTTCAGGGCAGTGTCTTTGCCGACGTCTTGGGTTGGATACAGCTCGAGATAGTGATCAACCCAGCGCTTCAACTGTTTTTCTTGGTCTGTGATGACTTCACCCGTCTTGGGCTGGAGTGGTCATAGAGGATGGAGGGCTTGGCGTCAACTGGATGCACGAGGGGTGCATGCCTCTTGCATGTCCAGTGTCGGCAGTTGTCTGTATGCTTGTGCAGAGGTTCAACTAGCAGGTTTTGACTCAGTGGCGGGCGGTCCGCTGAATGTTGTACCTTGCAGTCCTGAGAGCTGGCAGTGTACTATGGCTAGGCGCAGCCTTGTAAGCCAGGAGGGCTTTCCTCTTCGCCTCAGTAACGGGCTCCATCGCGTCCAAGTTGGCCTTTTACCAGTCTATATTCTTCTCGTTGGCAGTAATGGTTGAATTGTACTCAGCGTCTCGGTGGTAAGACCACCTTGAGTTAATGGTGTAATCAGGTGTTTCTTTGGTGAAATCCTCCTGCAGCTTGCTGACGAGCTGCTGTCTTCTCTGGGTTGCTTGTACAGTAGGTGTTTGTGCGTGAGCGACCCTTCTTCTTGGCATGGTTCGTCTTTTTGGGTATTATTTGCACCTTGCTGGCCACGAAGGAGTGATTCGTGTCGCAGTCGGCTCTGTAGTAGGTGTGGGTGAGGAGGACACTGGCAAGATCCGCATGCCTGTTGATGACGAGGTCTAACTGATGCCAGTGGCGAAAACGTGTGTGTCTCCATGAAACCTGTTGAATTTCCTTGCATTTGAAGTAGGTTTGGGTCACACATAAGCTGTGCGAGCAGCACATCTTCAGCAGTCGCTTACAATTCTCGTTGATTTTGCCCCTTCCATAAAAGTCGAGACAAGTGGGCCAGGCCTCATGGTTAGCTCCTACTCAAGCATTGAAGTCTCTATGTTGAGGCCTTCAGTGTTGGGGATACTGGATATTTGATCCAGAGCTTAGCAGATCTGGTCTTTCTCCTCTAGGATGGAGAAGAGAGTTGGTGCGTACACGCTCAAGAAGTTGACTGGGCCTGAGAATGTTGACAGCCGGAGGGCAAGGATCCTCTCAGTGCCTGATGGTGGAGACTCAATGAAGATGACAAGCGTGTTCATTACAGAGAAGCCGACACCGCGCTTCCTAGGCTCATCCGAGGACTTTCCTTGCCAAAAGTAGGTATAGTTTGCTTCCCTGATGAAGCCGCTGTCGGCCAGTCGGGTCTCCTGAAGGCAGGCAATGTCGTCGTTCAGTCGGGAGAGTTCTCAGTCAATTACGGCAGTCATCCAGCTTGCAAAACAAAGAACTGGAGTCTTCTTTTTTCTTCTTTGAGTGTTGCCTGCTGCAGAATTTGTGGCCTGCTTGTCGAGATAGTTGTCTACGCTCCACCCGCGCAAAGCTCTACACCAATCGAGCCATTTCTTAGAACCGATAATTTGCTGCTTCCCGTGTTGTAATGGGGCCCCACGACAACGCTGGAGTATCCTCTCCAGTGGAGCTACGAAGCCTGGGCGGGGTTGTACGGAGAATCAACTGTTGACCAAGCAGCAGACCCTCCTCTCCACGCATCTAGTGTTCCCAAGGGAACAGCGAATGCCGATCCAACTTGGCACCAACGGCGTTGCAGGAGTTGCCTGAATGACATTGAAGTCAATGTCAGACCGCCTTAGGGACTCTTTTTTCCGGATTCTCTGTTGAGATTTACCCCATGAACCTTTCCTATGAGTGGTTATAGCAGCAAGGTAACGGAGAAATGGGATCAGAGTTTTCCTTTTCCTAGATGAGCTACCATCCAAGGTTTACGAGCCCCGTCTACCTGAAGCGACTGGTTTTAAGGTGCCAGTCTTGTTAATGGAAACATGGTCCGTCGGACTTGGAAGCTAAGCCACACGCGAAAGCGAGGAGCTGGATTTTAGCTGACCGAGGCGATCAGATACGCAAGCCGTATGAGGCATTTCTGGAGGCATTTGAAGCTTCTCTCCCACTCCCACCCCGGCAATGTGAATCTTGGACCACCCACACGGTTTCGCATGTACAGTACATAATATAAAACGTTTTCATAACCAATTTAGTAAAAAGGGTTTCTACAGCCACAGATCACATTTATTGGAGAGAGAGAGAAAGAGAGAGAGAGAGAGAGAATTACTCTCACGATCCCATTACAAAACAAAATGGCTTGCTTTACATCGTGATTAATTTACCCGCAACCATGATTACTATTTTGTTACGACCCT